CAAACACCCCGAGGCTCTTTACGTGGTAGCCGGAGACTTTAACCACGTGAATCTAAAGGACTGTCTCCCAAGCTTTAATCAACATGTGACGATTCCGACACGTGGAGACAAGACGCTGGACCGTGTTTACACGAACGTAAAAGATGCATACAAAGCCGAACCCCGCCCCCACCTAGGACTGTCAGACCACATCTCAATCTTCCTGGCTCCTGCTTACATGCCCCCGCTGAGACTCTCCAGACTAGTACAAAAGAAAGTTAAATGCTGGATCCAGGACAGTGGCCCCATACTGAGAGATTGTTTTGATCAAACAGACTGGCAGGTTTTCAGAGAAGCTGCTGAAAATGGAGGTTCGCTTGATCTTGACCAATACACATCCACAGTTCTGGGTTACATTAGTACATGTACTGACACCGTCTCCACTATCAGAAATGTTAAAAGCTACCCAAACAGAAAACCTTGGCTGAATGCAGAGGTGCGTACCCTGCTGGAAGCCAGGAACATTGCCTTCAGGTCTGGAAGCTCAGAGGAGCCGAGTAGGACAAGAAAAGAGCTGGTTGCTGGTATTAAGAGGGCCAAGGCCACATATGCACAGAGGATCGAGGGTCAATTCATCTCACAAGACCCTCGGAGCATGTAGAGGGGCATTAAGTGCATAACAGATTATAAAGGAAGGAGTGAACAATGCCCCAAAGACCCATCTCTGCCTGATGCCCTCAACAAGTTCTATGCACGCTTTGAAGACCCCAACAGACCACCCAGCACCAGACTCACCTCACCACCGGACGAAGAGCATCTCAGCGTGACCTCAGCAGAAGTAAGGAGTACCTTCAGGAGGATTAATCCGCACAAGGCAACTGGCCCAGACAACATCCCTGGAAAAATGTTGAAGGAATGTGCTGATCAGCTCTGTGAGGTGCTGGCAGACATCTTTAACACCTCATTTACCCTGGAGACAGTTCCCACCTGCCTGAAGACTGCCACCATCATCCCAGTCCCAAAAAGCTCTACAGTGACTGGTCTGAATGACTATCGGCCAGTGGCCCTCACCCCGATAGTCGCTAAATGCTTTGAAAAATTGGTCATGACTCACATCAAAACAACCATCAACATCAACGAGGACCCTCATCAGTATGCATACCGTAAGAACCGATCAACAGAGGATGCAATCTCCTCTGTGGTCCACACTGCGCTCAACCACCTGGAGCAGAAAAACTCTTACGTCCGTATGCTCTTTGTGGACTTCACATCCGCTTTCAACACCATGATCCCCCAAACCCTGATGGACAAACTATCCACACTAGGACTAAGCCCCTCCATCTGCAACTGGGTACTAGACTTTTTAACAAACAGACCACAGTTAGTGAGGATCCACAACCTCTCCTCCTCCACCATAACCCTCAGCACTGGCTCTCCTCAGGGATGTGTGTTGAGCCCCCTCCTGTTTACTCTGCTCACGTATGATTGTGCAGCTACCCATCCAGGCTGTCACATTGTAAAGTTTGCAGATGATACAGCGGTGGTGGGATGCATCACAAACAATGATGAGTCCAGCTACAGGCAAGAGGTGGAACACCTGGAGAGCTGGTGCAGAGAGAATAACCTTCACATCAATGTGAAGAAGACAAAGGAGATGATTGTGGACTTCAGAAGGAACAAAAACACCTACACCCCCCTGAACATAAGAGGATCTGCGGTGGAAGTGGTCTCCAGCTACAAGTACTTGGGTGTACACATGAATGACAACCTCAGCTGGAGCAACAACACCACCAGCCTGATCAAGAAAGCTCATCAGAGACTCTACTTCCTCAGACGGCTGAGACGAGCTGTTCTGGGAAGCTCAGTCCTCAGCTCATTCTACAGGTGTGCAGTGGAGAGCATCCTGTGCTCGAGCATCAATGTGTGGCATGGAGGCTGCACAGCTGCAGAAAGAAAAGCTTTGCAGAGAGTGGTGAAGGCTGCACAGAAATCTGTTGGAATCAGCCTCCCCACCATCACAGACATCTACACCTCCAGATGCAGGAAGAGGGCCACCTGCATCATGAAGGACCCCACTCACCCAGCACACACACTTTTTGCCCCACTCCCCTCAGGAAGGAGGTTAAGGAGCATTAAGTGTAGAACCACTAGACTGAGGAACAGCTTCTACCCTGAGGCTGTTAGACTCATGAATCTCTAACTAGAATAATCACTGTGAAAAACCATATCATGTTGCTGCTGATCTGTTTCATGTTACTGCTGATCTGTTTCAATGTTGATGTGTTCATGCGTGCACATCTGCTCACAGACTCATGTTCATGTTTGTGCTGAATGTTCAATGTTTTATGTTATGAGAGCTTAGTGTATATTTAGTTGATGTTTTTCTTAGTTCATATCTTGGATGTTATTGCTGTTTTTCTTATACATTTTATTGTTGGATGTAACTGGGACCCTGTGTACATAATTTCGCTCCACCACATGTACCACATGAGGTGCGAATGACAATAAAGAAACTCTGACTCTCTGACTCTTACTCTGTCTCTGATAAGCATGTAAATTATAGCCGAACCAAACATGTGAGAATCATGCTGCTGCTGTTCTGTGTATTGTTTTGCACGATTAGTGGCTGGCATATATCTTAGATCTGTTTGTGTACTGTTTGGGCGTTCGTTTAGCGTATATCTTAGTTTATATCTTACATCTGTTAGTGTACTTTTTTTTTTACACTTTATATTTTTACTATTGTTGGATGTAAGTGGGACCCTGTGTACACAATTTCGTTCCACCACATGTACCACATGAGATGTGAATGACGATAAAGAATCTCTGACTCTGAGAAAGCACTTTTTAGCTGAATTAGGCTGAAAAAAGTTGAAATGAGTGCAAAAAATGTGGAATTAGCTAAAAAAGCTAAAATTAGCATAAAACAGCTAAATAATAGCTGAAATTGCAGGAAAAGCTGAAACTTGCAGAAATAAGCTGAAAGGAGCATAACAAACTGAAATTAGTTGAAAGACGTTAAAAGAAGCACACAAATGTTGTAGTTAGCAGAAAGAATCTGAAAGGAGCACAAAACAGCTGAAAATAAAACTGTTGAAATTAGCTAAAAAAGTTTAAATTTGCAGAAGGAAGCTGAAAGAAGCTGAAGCAGAACAAAACATGAAAGGAGCAGTAAAAGTTTGTAAACACATCTAAAGATTTGAAGGATCTAACATGAGCTCAATTCTTTTTCTATGAGAAAAAAATGGCAGAAAATGCTAAATATTTCAAAAAGCTAAAGCTGCACCAATACCAAAAGTCAGCACCCTTCTCCTGGAGGAGCTGTACGTTTTGATTTATGATTTGTTGAAATAGCTTGAAAACTGAGACAGATGCCAAAAAACATACGGAATAGGGATAGTAATTATAATATGAACAGGATCACAATATGAATTGTTAAATTGCAGAATGCTGCATAATATGCATTCATACTATAAATGTTAAAGCTGCTCCCAGTAGCTCCTTTTGGTCACCGTGGTAACCACTCACCTTTGTCTCTCACTCCCTGACTGCTAAGTTATTGAGAGACAAAATAAACCAAAGATAATAAGTCAGATTAAAAAATAAATGCCTCAGACATGAAGATGTCCTCGATGGCCTCAAAGCTCGAGCTTCATTGCTGAGAGTCTCCGGTATGCCTTTCTGTAAAGTCCAAAGATTTTATGTTTTTAAGCACTTTGTGGTTGTTTTCCTGCCACTCCTCCATGGAGCCCAGCTCTGTCCAGCTTGTACTGGTTTTATGAACAAATGATTCCATCTCCCTGCTCCATCAGTGTTCTCTGTTAACTCCTGGATGTTTCTCTGAATGCTCTTCTTACCCTCTTCATGGATTTCTGTGGATGACTCTCTCTTGGCATGTTTGCTGTGGTGACATCATCTTTTCATTTAAAAAACAATTTTAATGACACTCTATGGGATGTTCAGGGTTCCAGGATAGTTTTTTTAAAACACAACATTTTTCTAAATTTTTTCTGACCTTTGTGGAGAGTTTTCATGCTCTTATTGAATCAAATTGAAAACTAATTTAAATTCAACCCCCCTATAAGGCAACAGAACAGAACGACTGCCGAAGGGGTGAATACTTTTGCGAGTCACCTTGACACGGCAGTGGCAACAGTTTAAAGTGCAGTTATAGTTTTCTCTGTAATATAAGACGTTTGACCTGGATCTTATTTTTAGTTATAAAATCAAATTTGACCATGTGTTGCTCTAAACATTATTTTTATTCTTTAACTGATTCAGAGTCAGCCTGACTAGTTCTCAGCCTCACACCCGAGCCCGAGGCGTCCGTCTACTGTCTGACGTTTTACAGGAGAACTACGCAGAGCTCACAGAGAGAGAAGGTAATCAAACCATTGAACCAGCTTGGTATTGGATTTGAGTGCAGAACTTCAAAATGTCAGTTCATTAAAAAAGTATGAATAAAGCAGAAGTTCTGATGTCAGGTGATACTGATACTTGGCAATGTAAAAGTATAACAATGTGATCGTCTTTTTTGTGTGACAGTGGAGGTGCTTATCGCTTTCTATGAAAACCGCCTTAAGGACCATTATGTTGTCACTCCACCAGTTTTACACGGGCTGCAAGAGTTGGTAAGTCCTTCGTCCATTCATCAAAATCAGGAGAATTAAACAAGTTTGACAGCAGAGCTCCAGTGCTTCTATGCCCATATTCAAATGCTTGTTGGGTATTATTTTCATATATATTTTCTAATATTTCTGCATACTTTCATTTGTTTTAGTCATTAATATAAGATATGATAAGACTTTATCTCACAATGGGTAAATTCAGATGTCACAGCAGCAACAAGACAGAAAAAATACACACACACATACATATATACACACATATATATATATATATATATATATACAGGTCCTTCTAAAAAAATTAGCATATTGTGATAAAGGTCATTATTTTCCATAATGTAATGATAAAAATGAAACTTTCATATATCTCAGATTCATTGCACACCAACTGAAATATTTCAGGTCTTTAATTGTTTTAATACTGATGATTATGGCATACAGCTCATGAAAACCCAAAATGCCTGTCCCAAAAAATTAGCATAT